TGTTTTCATTGTAAATTTAGAGGGAAAATAAAATAAATTTGTATCTAGGGAAGAATTTTACTGATGATGAAGAGAAAGGAAAGAATTTGTTGGATTTACTAGAGGAAGACTAATTTAGGTCTAGTTAAAAAGGGAATTTAAAAAGAGTGTAAATAAGGCAGTTTGGGGAGAGTGATTGTGTGTTGTATAGTTATGAGGTTGTTGGTTCATGTGTTGTAGTTATGAGGTTGTTGACCCCTATCCATAACTACTGGGTCAATTAATCTTGAGTGTAATTAAAAGATCTTGAACCCTAAGGCAAAAACTGACCAGGTGTTATAATTAAGAGGGCATTGACCACTTATATAACAACTATTAAGAGGTAGTTAATCACATAAGTGTAATTTAGAGGGCATTGACTATAGTTAAGAGGCTTTTGACCTTCTAATAATTATACTCAAAAGGGTATCGACCCAAACTATAATTACGAGGTTGTTTACTCCAGGTCATTTAGCCTTGACCACATTTGACCCCTTACTGTATATAGAAGGGGACGTTGACCCACTTAACTCTGATATAGAAAAAGGTTTACCTGTCACTAATTAAGAAGTTTACCTGTGCTCATTAAGAATTATTACCCCCCTCATTATAATCAACAAGTTATTAATTTTTTCATAGTAATAAAAACTTTCTAGTGACGATCTGTGTTAATGATCAGTTAACGAAGCCTTGAGGACGACGAAGTGCCACCTCGCTAAATGACTGTGTGTGTTTGGTGGTCATACCGGGAATACCAGACAGGTGTTTGGTGGTCATAATCAGATAGTCACACACACATAAAATTGAAATTACTAGCAGATTCAAAATAAACTTATCAATAAAATCTAATTACTAGTAAATTCAAAATGAAGATATGCATAAAATTGGTTCTTGTGACTAACTAGCGTCTCATACTACTAGCAGAGGCGTGATATTTTTAGCTTATATTCAGTAGATGCATCAGTGTGGAGCATCTTGAGGGGCGTGATTTATCCTTTCCTGCCATCTCCTGACGGTGCTCTTTCAAGGAGAACCCCACGCCCCCTGGTCCCACTGCCTGCACCGTCACCACCTCCACACACTTAATTACCTCACCTACCTGAAGACGTAACACCTTAGAGTTGGATATACTTATTTATTTTAGTTTAGGTTAGGTTAGGTTAGGTTAGGTTAGGTTAGGTTAGGTTAGGTTAGGTTAGGTTAGGTTAGGTAAAGTTAGGTAAGGATAGGAGTAATTTGGTTAGGTTGGATTGTGTTTTTTTAGCGTAAGTTAGGCTGGGTTAGGTTAGGTTAAGTTGTAATATGATAGATTAGGTTAGAATGAGTTAGAATAGGCTATGTTAGGTTAGGTTAGGTTTTAATAGGATGGATTAGGTTAGATTAAGTTAGATCAGAGTAGATTAGGTTAGACGGAGTTAGGTTAGGCTAGGTTAGGTTAGGTTAGGCTAGGTTAGGTTAGGTTAGGTTAGGTTAGGTTAGGCTAGGTTAGCCTGTAAGAGGATAGATAAATAACCCCCCGCCCCCCCCAAAAAAAAATCCGTATAAAAATCCCTCTTGAATCCGACTACACGAACGTAAATAAATCCTAAATTAAACTCTTCTTGTGAGGGCTATTAGTTGGCCTCCCATCAAACCTCCGCATTTTTTTTCTCTTCTCCAGGATACGGGAAGATGAATGGAACCTTGTCACTTCCTTTTGCATAATAAAACCGTATATCCATCTAATGTTGGGAAATGGGAGAAGGGGAGGGGAGGGGGGAGAGGAGGGGAAGGGGAGAGGAGGAGAAGGGGGAAAGGAGGAGAAGAGGAGAAGAAGAGAAGGAGAGAAGAAGAATAGAATAAAAAGGGGAGATACAATGTGTGTGTGGTATTCGTCTTAAATGTTGAGAGAAAAGAGGACAAGAGAAGAGAAGAGAGAGAGAGAGAGAGAGAGAGAGAGAGCTTCGTGGTCATTGATTATTATTATTGTTGTTTTTATTTTTTTTCTCTTTTATTTCTTTCGCTTTCTTTATTTATGTCTGTAATTATACCTATCATCTGTATTTATGTCTATCTGTTATCTTTTCTGTCTATCTGTTATCTTCTCTGTCTATCTGGTTATCTTTTTATCTGTCTATCTGGTTATCTTTTTATCTATCTCTGTCTCTGTCTCCCCCGACTGGTGTAGTGAAGATGTTTTACCCGTCTGATGTGGGTATTTGTCGTAAACATCTGTCATGGGTGTTTAAACATGTGTTGGTGAGGCATCTGTTATGAAAACCTATAATTGAACATCTGAACATCTGTTGTAAATATCTCTTGTGAACATCTGTTGTGAGCATCTGATTAAAATAAACTGTGAACACCTGTTGTGAACACCTGCGGAAACCAAATGCTACAAAAGCTTTTAATTTATTCAATTTCAATTATCATGAAACAGGTGTTGAGAGTGAATGAACCCAACACCGTTTATTGTACCGCTGATGGACCATTTCCGTCCCAAATAGACCAGAATTGAATCTAGTTGACGACTCTCGCTCTTTTTTGGGTCCGAATAACGAATTGACTTTATTTTGAAGTGGGAATATAATTAATTTATTTTTTCGATTGGCAATTTTTAGTTTGTTGAGTTGAGGATCTATTTGATTTTCTCATTTGGGAAATATTAATTAATTTACTTGGTAATATGAAATTATTCTTAAGATATTTAATTTCTTTCAAGGTCAGAGTATATTAATCTTCTAGTTAAGACACGAAATATATTTTTTTGCTTTTCGTCTGATTTACGAATATATTTCTCCCATCAATTCACGAATACGTATAATGCTAACCCAACCCAACCCAACCCACGGCTAAGATGACTATACTGTGTATAGTAACGTAAACTGGACTTATGGCAACAGGGCTTACAGGTTATATTGCTTTGTGCTTATGGAAACTACGCCAGATAGACAAACGGTTCGCTCACCTTTCGCCCGACGATGGTAGTGCTCTCCTGGGGCGTGTGTGTGTGACAGGAAGATAAAATAAAACAAGAAGAAGGAGGAGGAGAACACAGTTGATAGGAAACAGGAAGGGCGCCATTAAGAAACTCTTCATCCTCCTCCTCCTCCTCCTCATCCTCCTCCTCCTCTTCCTCTTCTTCCTCTCCTTCCTCTTCTTCCTCTCTCCTCCTTATCTCCTCCCCCCTCCTCTACCCCCTCCCCCCTCACTGCTTTACGCGAGTAGCAGCGAGTTACAGAGTGAGAAAAAACTTATGATAATATTATTTCCGTAAGAGTAAAAGACGTTGATTCTTAAAGTTAATTTTTTACCCTCTGTTCTTCTCCTCAGTAGAAACTGATTTGGTTGACTTAAGTTACGTGAAAAAAAAAGTTATGCAAATGTCCCGTGTGTGTGTGTGTGTGTGTGTGTGTGTGTGTGTGTGTGTGTGTGTGTGTGTGTGTGTGTGTGTGTGTGTGTGTGTCCACCATTTTATACAAAACACATCCCACCATTTTATAAGCATTGCGGATCTTCTTGATTGACTTTGGCAGGATAGTGCTTTAAAACCTAACACAACACAACCTAGCAGCTGACACAACACAACCCACAACACAACACAACACAACACAACACAACACAACACAACACAACAACACAACACAACCTAACCTAACCTAGCTTGCCCTAACACAACCTGGGGTGATCTAATAAACAAAGGGACATTATCAAGGTGGTGCAGTATAGTGGAAGGTGGATATAGGGTGTAACTAGAGTGATTAGTCGGAGGTGAAATAATGAATAATGGAATAAGTCATAAAGGATGATAAAAGGGTGGAATAGACATTGTAAAGATAGGAATTATGAAACCAAAATAGTAGACGTAGAAGAGGAAGAAGAAAAATGAGTAAAAGAAAGAAACAGGAGAAGTAACAGAAGAAGAAGAAGAAGAAGAAGAAAGAAACAGAAGAAGAAGAAGAAAGAAAGAAACAGAAGAAGAAGAAGAAGAACAAGAAACAGAAGAAGAAGAAACAGAAGAAAAAGAAAAAGAAACAGACGAAGGAAGAAGAAGAAACAGAAGAAGAAGAAAGAAAGAAACTGAAGAAGAAGAAGAAGAAGAAGAAAGAAACAGAAAAGAAGAAGTAGAAGAAACCTGATAAATTAGAGGTGTGAAGGAACTGTAGACTACCTGCGTTGAAAAGATCCCCAGACTTTCTTTATACATTTACCCCGACTGACACCACAGGGGTTCTGGCAGTTCCTTGACGGGGCGGGGGACGGGGAGAGGGTGCCCTGAGGGGTGATATAAGCCCTGGGGAGAAAGAGCTCAGAGTAGAAAGGGGTTTATGAAAGTTAAGACTGGTGGGGTGGGAGGGAGAAGTAGGGGGAAGGAGAGGGGGGGAAAAGTAGGGAGATGAGGGATTTGAAGGGGAGTGGATGGGAGTGGGGGAGAACGGGGTTAAAATGAGCATTGTTGGTGGAGGGAAGAGGGGTAGGGGTGGAAGGCGTGTGGGTGGAGGTGAGGGGTGGAGTGGTGGGGTGGAGGTGGAGGGGAGGAGGTGGAGGGTGGTGGGTGGAGGTGAGGTGTTGTAGGGCGGTGGGTGGAGGCGTTGTAGGGCGGAGGAGGAGGAGGAGCTGGGTGGAGAAGGACGACTTTTCATGTGTCTGTGTAAAGTAAAATCTGAGCGAAAACCCATTGTGTGTGTTTGTGTAAAACTGAAGGAAAAATCTGTTGTTGCGACGTTTTCTTTGTTTAAAAAATTGACGAGTGGTCATACGAGGAGAAGCAGTGTAATGGTTTTGCAATTCAGTGTTGAAACAATACGATAGATATTCATATTTAATGTTAAAATAAATTTGAATCATTTTGGCCTTTTTTCCGGTAAATTTGAGTAATGTGATGCAGTTTATTCCTTTAGAGTGGAAAATTAAAATACGATGATCTGGAAAAAAAAGTAAATTCAGCTTCGCGTCATAAAATTCTTAACAAAAGGCGGTTCCAAAGCAAGGGGAATTCAACGATGCTTTTGGTGTCACAGTGTATGTTACAGATGTCCCTCACATGTCCCCGTAAGAAGTCTTCAGATGCCACCGACGAAGGAATTGTAACCCGAGAAGAGAACTTTATTATGCCAGACGGGCGATTCAGAGTCGATGAAATGTAAGGTCTGATGTTGGCATTTCACCTGGAGGTATATTGACCACCACCCATCCAAGGTTCCCCAGGTTAATCACTAAATCATGGCCTTGAGTTGAGGGCTTTTTGAATTTAACTAATCTGACCCAGCCAACTTTTCCTTTCAATCCGGCAATTGGAGATGGAATTTGGATCGATCACTGGGACTCCGAGTCAAAGATGAAATCCATGTAATAGCAGCACCAAGAAGCTCAGCAGTCAAACCCTCTGCCGGGGAGATCACAGCTTCGATCCTCTATGATACCGCAGGGATTCTGTTGATTAACCTTGACACATATCACCATTATCTCTTGTGCTGGCCTAATGCAACAACTAAGCTACGTGATATGGGAGAACTAACTGAGGGATACTGACTAGAGGTGTCCTGATCCTAACCCACAGATCCCATGCTTACAAAGACTCTTCGCAATTGTGATTTCGACCGCTTGAATACCTTGGCTATACAACACATATCTGTCCCAAACGATTATTCTCTATTTCCAAACCTGAAGAAGGGGCAGGCGGAAGAGCAGACGAAGGGACAAGTAGTAGAGGAGGTGGCGGTGGGGGAACTGCAGTAGGAAATCCTGTTCTCAGTTGTGATTTTATTTTATAGTCAATTGGTCAATTTTTTTTTGGCTATTGGAAATAAAATCAAGAATGACTTCACTTCATCTTTCTCCCTTTCCTTGCTTTTTTATATATATTCTTTTGTTTATTTCCTCTTCTTTTCCTTCTTCTATTCCCTGTCTCCTACCTTCCCACATCCCATTAATCATTACACCATCTATCCCACTCAACACCATCTATCCCACTCAACACCATCTATCCCACTCAACACCATCTATCCCACTCAACACCATCTATCCCACTCAACACCATCTATCCCACTCTACACCATCTATCCCACTCATCACCATCTATCACTCAACACCATCCCCACATACCACTATCCCACCCCAACACCATTTATCCCACTCAACACCATGTATCCCACTCTACACCATCTATCCCACTCAACACCATCTATCCCACTCAACACCATATATCCCACTCAACACCATCCCCATATATCCCACTCAACACCATCTATCCCACTCATCACCATCCCACTCAGCCAAGACTTATAATATAACTCGTCGACAATATTTACATTTCCCATAGAATAAAATACCGTACGAGCCTCATCCATCACAACAGCTGGCGGGCTAACATGGACCACTTGGCATTAGTATGAAGTCTTCAGGCAATGTTATGTGACAATGTTGGTCTAGGAATTTAACATTTTCTCGCCCCCACACACACACACACACACACACGCAAAACTCACGCACACACACACACACACACACACATACACACAACTGAAATATTAAATAAGAGAAGAGTTCCTCGTTAGTGTTGCTTTAAGAACTGATGATCAAGAAACCTTATTTAAGTACGGTATTGTTGACAGTTTATGAGTTGTTAATGTCATTGGGAGGAGGAAGAGGGTGATAAAGAGGAGGAGGATGAGGAGGAGGATGATGAAGAGGGGGCAGGAGAGGAAAGGAGAGGGTTGATGAAGTGGGGGCAGGAGAGGAAGAGGAGAGGGGTTGATGTGAAGTGGAGCAGGGAGAGGGAAGAGGAGAGGGTTGATGAGAGGGCAGGAGAGGAAGAGGAGAGGGGTTGATGAAGAGGGGGGCAGGAGAGGGAAGGAGAGAGGGTTGATGAAGTGGGGGCAGGAGAGGGAAGAGGAGAGGGGTTGATGACGTGGGGAGCAGGAGAGGAGGGAGGAGGAGGAGGAGGAGGAGGAGGAGGAGGAGGAGGAAGAAGGGGTGGCAGGAGAGAAGTAGGAGGAGGAAGTGGCAAGAGATGAGGAGACGAAGTGAGAAGGAGAGGAGGAAGAGGAAGAAGTAGCAGAAGTGGAGGGGTAGGGTGAGGTAGAGAAGGGAATGGGAGGAGAGAGGAGGGAGACGGGGGGGTGAGCACTAGGAGAAGAGGAGGAATAAGAAGAGGAGGAAGATGAGGAGGAAAGTGATAAAGGAGGTGGGAGGAGAAGAGGAAGAGGATGAAGCGACAGAAGAGGAGGAATAAGAGGAAGAGGAGGAAGAAGAGCAAATGGTAATAGGAGAGGACCCAGGTGCCTCAATAGAGAGTTGAGAGAGAGAGAGAGAGAGAGAGAGAGAGAGAGAGAGAGAGAGAGAGAGAGAGTTGTATGCGAATCAATATACAATATGTCATTCTTGCAAACTTCAGCATGATTGCTGTCTGTGTTTTTCGCTATCTATGTATGAAGAGAGAGAGAGAGAGAGAGAGAGAGAGAGAGAGAGAGAGAGAGAGAGATTATGACCCTCGATTTTTTCCTCCCCATCCCACTCACTCACCTGCCCCTCCTCCCCTCTCTCCTCCTCTCAGTGAGTGTGCGGATATACCAATCTTGCTATCAGTGTGTACATTCAGGAAGTATGTATGTATGTATGTATGTATGAGAGATGGAATTAATATACTAATTTATCTAATACATAACCAGTCATCTGTATAGACTTAAATAATACAACAATACACTAATCTATCCTTATTATACATCATATACACCAGACTAAAACTGTATGTTATTCATTTATTAACATGTGGATAAATTAACTTAGGTTCAAATTTGATACTTTTATTTTGTCTATTAAAAATATATATATAAACAAGACAGATTTTATTTTGTTCTTTTGTTTATTTTGTTGTTTTATGACTTAGGTATCTACACAACACCTCACTTCTCTCTCATTCTTTACCTCACTTCTACCTCACTTTTCTCACTTTCCTCATTTCTCTCACTTACCCTCACACTTCACTCTCTCACTTCTCCCACTTACCTCATTTCTTTCACTTACCTCACTTCTATCACTTCCCCACTTCCTCTCACTTTACTTCACTTTCTACTTCTCTCACTTCTCTCACTTTTCTCACTTCTCTCACTTTCCCCATTTCTCTCCACTTAATTCTACTCTAATTTCACTTCTTCTCACTCCTCTCTCATTTCCTCTCACTTTACCCCACTTCTCTCAATTTCTCCTCACTTTGTCCCACTTACCTCATTTCTTCACACTCTACTTCCACTTCTCATCAATTTCTCCTCACTTCTCTCACTTCTCCCCACTTACCCCACTTCTCTCACTTCTCTCAATTTCCTCTCACTTTTCTCACTTCTCCTCACTCTCCCCACTCTCACTTACCCCACTCTCTCACCTCCCCTCTCACTTTCCCTCACTTCTCTCACTTCTCTCACTTCTCCTCACTTCTCTCACTTTCCCTCACTTCTATCACTTCTCTCACTTCTCTCACTTCTATCACTTTCCCTCACTCTCTCACTTTACCCCACTTAATTCTCACTTCTCTCACTTCTCCTCACTTACCCCACTTCTCTCAACTTACCCCACTTCTCCTCAATTTACCCCACTTCCCCACTTCTACCCCTCACTTTCTCACTCTCAATTTCTTTTCTCACTTTCCTCCTCACTTACCCCCACTTCCTCTCTACTCTTCCTCACTTCTCTCTCACTTCTACCTCACTTACCCCACTTCTCTCACTTCACCTCAACTTCTCTCTACTTTACCCCCACTTTTCTCTCACTCTAATTCTCACTTCTCTCACTTACCCTCACTTCTCTCACTTTCTCTCACTCAATTCACTTTTTCAACTCTCTCCTCACTCCCTCTCTCACACTTCTCCTCATTTCTCTCACTTACCCTCAATTTGTCTCACTTTACCTCACTTAACTCTCACTTCTCTCACTCTCACTTACTCCCACTTTTCTCACTTCTCACTTCTCTCACTTACTCCTCACTCTTCCTCACTTACCTCACTTCTCTCACGCGATGTTTTATGTTTACTCAGCGTCGGTATCACTGGGTGTGTGTGTGTGTGTGTCCATCTCTTTAAATTGTTTGATAATAATTGTAACCTAACCTAACCTAACCTAACCTAACCAAACTCTCTTTTATCATCATTCATTTGTTACTTTCTATTCCTTTTTTTTTTTTTTTCTTTTTTTCTTTCTCATATTATTACATTTCTTTTCCAATCTCTTTCAGTTTTATGTTTTATCGAGGATTTTGTATTTTCCTTTATTCAATCAGTTTTTGTGTGTTCGTGGATTGAGGGATTGAAGGATTGAAGGAGGAGGATTGAGGATTGAGGAAGGATAAGAGTAGAAAGAAGGATTGAGGATTGAAGGATTGAAGGAGGGATTGAGGATTGAAGGATTGAAGGATTGAAGGAGGAGGGATTGAGGATTGAAGGATTGAAGGAGTGAAGGAGTGAGGATTGAGGATTGAAGGATTGAGGATTGAAGGAGTGAGAGATTGAAGGAGAGGGATTGAGGGATTGAAGATTGAAGGAGTGAGGATTGAGGGAACACCTTAATGTAATAGGTCGTCTTCATTTCTTCTCTTTCCTCCTCTTTATTCGTTGCTTGCTCTCTCTCTCTTTCTATCTTATCTTTCTCCTTTTATGTCTTGTCTCTCTCTCTCTCTTCATTCATTTTTTGTGTTTGTTCTTTTTGATTTTTTTCTTTTTTTCCTTCACATGTTCTCTCCTCCTTCTTCTCATCCTCCTTCTTCTTGTCGTCCTCCTCCTTCGCCTTTTCTTTCCTCTTTCTCTTCCTCCCCACTTCACCCTCCCCCCACTCCCTCCTCCTCCTCCGCACCACTCTTCCTCCCTTCCTCTTTCCTTCTTCTTCCTTCTCCCTCCCCACTTCTCCACCATTCCCCATCCTCCTCCTTCTCCTCCCCCCCATCCCTCCCCCTCCTTGGGCTGGTGAAGAGATAGAGAGGCCTCACGCCCTCCCATCATCCTCACTACTAAGATCCTACACAAATTATTATTTACCTCAGCCATGCCCAACAGATGTATATATATGCTCCAATAGATGTATATATATATGCCCAACAGATGTATATATGCTCCAACAGATGTATATATATGTCCAATAGATGTACAATATATGCTCCAACAGATGTATATATGCTCAACAGATGTATATATATGCTCCAATAGATGTATATATATATGCCCAACAGATGTATATATGTCCAACAGATGATATATATATGCTCCAATAGATGTATATATATATGCTCCAACAGATGTATATATGTTCAACAGATGTATATATATGCTCCAATAGATGTACATATATATATGTCCAACAGAGATATATATATGCTAACAGAGATATATATGCCCAACAGAGATATATATGCTCCAACAGATGTATATATGCTCCAACAGATGTATATATGCTCCAACAGATGATATATATATATATATATGCTCCAATAGATGTATATATATATGCTCCAACAGATGTATATATATATGCTCCAACAGAGATATATATATGCTCCAACAGATGTATATATATTCCAACAGATGTATATATATGTTCCAATAGATGTACATATATATATGCTCCAACAGAGATATATATGCTCCAACAGATGGATATATATGCTCCAACAGATGTATATATGTCCAACAGATGTATATATGTCCAACAGATATATATATATATATATATGCTCCAACAGATGTATATATATATGCTCCAACAGATGTATATATATATGCTCCAACAGATGTATATATATATACCCAACAGATGTATATATGCCTTTGTCCTGTAGGGTTATTGGTCCTGTAGTCACGCCAAGGGAGAGAGTAGAGGATGGAGGTGTGGGGGGGGTAGAAGGGATGGAAGGAGGAAGTGAATAGAAGGAGAGGAAGTAGAGGCGAGAAAGGAAGAGTAGTGGAAGGAATAGAAAGGAAAGGGAGGAGTAAACGGAAGAGGGAGAGAATCGTAGAGAAAAAAGAGAGATAGAGAGAGAGAGAGAGAGAGAGAGAGAGAGAGAGAGAGAGATGGGAATGACGAAGGGAAGATAATTAAATAGAGGGGAAACGGATAGTTGTAGGGAGAAGATAATTGGTAGAGTAAAAAACATAAAGAGAGAGAGAAGAGAGAGAAAAAGAGAGAGAGAGAGAGAGAAATTGGTTGCCTTAATGTGTTTTATATATTGTACTACGGTTGGAAAATGCCTACCAAAAAAAAATAGGGTTTGTGGTTGTGGTGGGGCTAAGGGCAGAGGTGGTTGTAGTGGTGGACGGAGGGGGGGGTGTAATTAGGGGTGGTGTAGTTTGGTTAATTGCTTTTCTATTAAGTTTTCTTTTTTCCATTGAAGTTATTACTGTTTGAGTGTGTGTGTGTGTGTGTTTGTGTGTGTGTGTGTGTGTGTTTGTGTGTTTGTGTTTTGCTCTATGGGGTTAGTTTGTTATTCTCGTTTGTTTTGACTGTATGAGTATTTGTTGTCGTTGTTGTTGTTGTTTTGGTGTTTTAACTGCCTCATGCTAGTCTATCATTTCATAGAGAAAAAAACCAATTCACTCACATAAACTCAATGGCGTTAAAACAGCTAAACACATTCACTAATTACCTGAAATATGCTGTACCTTTTAGCGATTGGTAATACTGTAATTATGTCATTCAATAGTAAATTCAATTAAAGCAAAGTATGCCAATTAATATCATATAAGTCATGTTTCATTCTTGGTTAGATTTTGGTTGGATTTGGTTAGATTTGGTTGGATTTGCTTGGATATGGTTGGATATAGTTAGATTTGGTTTGATTTGGTTAGATTTGGTTTGATTTGGTTTAATTTGGTTAGATTTGGTTGGATTTGGTTCGATTTGGTTGTAAATATTTTGTTAGATTTGCTTTGATTTTGATAGATTTGTTTGGATTTGGTTGAATTTGGTGAGATTTGGTTGGATTTGGTTGGATTTGGTTGGATGTGATAACCATTATGTCAGCCACGAGCGATAATAACCACCATTACTACCACATACTCCTTAAGATCACCAAGTGTCAGCGGCTATAGTGTGTTGTGCTGACTCTGGTGTGTGTGTCAGCAGTAGAGAGAGAGAGTTATAATGGGTGTCTTTCCTTCCCCCCCCCTCTCCCTCTCTCTCTCTCTCTCCCTTCGTCTGTTTGTCTGTCTGTCTGTTTGTCTTTCACTTATATTCTTCCTTCGTTATTCTAGTCCTTCAAATTCCTCCATCACTTTTGCAACTTTTCTTCTTGTTCTTCTTGTTGTTGTTCTTCTTCTATCTTTAGTTCTGTCTGTCAACCACCTTCATCACAGCCGTCTCTCTCGCCATCATCATCATCATCACCATCTTCATCATCACCATCACCATCACCATCTTCATCATCACTATCATCATCATCATCATCATTATCATCATCACCCGGAACTTCCACTCCTCTGTACTCTCCAGGCTTGACTTTAGCAACAAGCACAAGACATCGTGAACCAACCGACCGACCGACCGACCGACCGACCGACCGCCTTAGCGCCGTCTAGGGGAAGAGAGGAGAGGGGGGAGGGGTAAGAGGAGAGAGGGGGGGGGGGAGGAGGGGGAGAGGAGAGGGGGGGGGGGAAGACGGACTGCATGCATAGTCGGCGGCGGGAGAGGGAAACTGTGTTATGATCTTGTAAGTGCCTCAGCGGACCGTTTAGCGCCGTGGTGCCGTCATGAGCTAGCATCCCCCGCCCGCCCTGCATCACCACACTCATATCCTACACCAAGATTTCTCAGAATTGTCAGAGTTTGATTTTTTTTTCTTCTCTGCATCAACTACTAGCATGATGGAACGAGTACAATAGCTAAAAACTACCCCTAAGTGCAATTAAACACCCATGTTGGTCGTTAACTATGTGATGTAGTCTTTAAAATGAATTAGTTTAACGAACGAAGCTTTAGAGAATTCGTTCCCTCTTCTCTTGTTGCTTGTGCTGTGGGCTGGTGTCCAAGTTATGGGTACTAGTGTGTGTGTGTGTGTCTCTTGTTGCTATGGCTGATGGTGCTGATAATGCAGATGTTTGAGGCAGCCTTGACCTACAATCACAGTGGCCAAGTCTCGCCCAACGGGGACTGTCGCCATGACAATATGCATATCTTACTGCTCTTTTTGTCTTGTTGCTACTGACTGATGTAACTTTTTTCTCCCCCTGATGTTGTTCCTGTCAGTGGTGGTGATGGTGGTGGCGATGGTGGTGGTAATGATGTTGGTAGTGGTGGTGGTCGTGTTGCTGGTGGTGGTGGTGTTAGTGGTGGTGGTCTGGTGTTGGTGGTGGTTATGGTGGTGGTGGTGGTGTTGCTGCTGTCGGTGGTGGTGGTGTTGCTGGTGGTGTTGCTGGTGGTGGTCTGGTGTTGGTGGTGGTTATGGTGGTGGTCGTGTTGCTGGTGGTGGTGGTGTTAGTGGTGGTGGTCTGGTGTTGGTGGTGGTTATGGTGGTGGTGGTGGTGTTGCTGCTGTCGGTGGTGGTGGTGTTGCTGGTGGTGTTGCTGGTGGTGGTCTGGTGTCTCCCTCACACACAGGGATGATAACTGTTATCTCCTCTTGGTGTTGGTCGGGTCTTTATCTCTGTCTCTCTCTGTCGGCCGCTGGGGTAAATAATCATCTGGTTGTTACTGATAGTGTTGAAGCTATTGGGGCCTCGTGTTGCACGCCTTTGTAGCTTGTTGCAGAGCTCGGTGGTATGTTGCAGGCCCAAGAAAAGCCCCAGGACAAACGTGAAGGTCAAGAACAAGCCCTCCAGGACAATATTACAGCCCTAGGACAAGCCCCAGTACAAAACACCAAGTTCATGAATAGATCCAGGACACATAGAGGCCTAAGACAAGCCCCAGGACAATATTTTAACCCTAGGACAACCTCCAGGACAAACAATGAGGCCCAGGACAATAACATAGTGCCCCTCAATAAGGTAACGGAGCGACGGGAAAGACATCTGGGAATGGAAGGGTGTGTCCTGGAGGGTGGCCATGATGGAGAGAGAGAGAGAGAGAGACAGAGAGAGAGAGAGAGAGAGAGAGAGAGAGAGAGAGAGAGAGAGATGACATGGTACCCTCACCACTATTGTTTATCGATCAATAGAACTAAACATCCTCTCCTGTGTGTTTATTACGGTGTTCCCCCATCTTACACACACACACACACACACACACACACACACACACACACACACATACACACACACACACACATACACACACACACACAAAACACACACACACACATACACACACACACACACATACATCGACCAGTATATATGTATATGTGTGTGCATACATATACATTCTAATAGGTCGAATGCAATCAAAGATACATGCATAGTTATGTATCTAAGCTCGTGTATATGTATCTACACACATACATTACATACAGACTGTTACGATTACTTCCCTCTTATGTACTTAAGGCCTTCAAAGTAATGGAATATCACTTAATACTTATAATTTTCACTTCATAAAACAACCCAAATTCCAGCACTGGGAGAGTGACTTAAACACTAATGCAAAAAGCTCCCATGGAAACTCTGCACTAAATGACCATACATATATTTTTAGACAGGTCACTCAGAGTTACACTAATATGATCCAATAACTCGTAAAAGATGTTCGAGTGTTATTGAAACAAAGCTTAACTAAAAATAAGCTGAACTAAAAATAAATATGATTATTCTGATTATTTCCTTATTTTATATAATTACACTAACACAACCGCTCCTACCTGAGAACACTTAGGGTAAAATACTATATATTAACCTAGCCAACAATACCAGTCTTACCATATACACAGCAGCAACCAGAACCTCCACATACATAGGATCACCCAAAAACCTCCCCCGGTGGACCTGGGGTAGAGGCAAGAAGGCAGTGGAAGGCAAAGAAAAACCCCGGAGTGTCTGTTCCGAGTGACAGCTAAGAGTAGAGAGATTGTCCCCAGCCGTCAACCTCAACACATAAGAACATCGATATACCACAACATTCCTAACACGTATCGTTACAATTATTAATATAACATCGTACTTTATCACCCAATATAAGAGTACATAAAATAATAAGATAATACACAGATCAAGTTATGAAATAATAAAAGAATATTTACAATAATATGTAGAAAACAGTAAGTCATGTTATTTATGTTACCAAATAAAGACGGTTCCTAACAATACATACATACATACATACATACATACATACATACATACTCACTATAAAACATATATGTATACAGTGCCAGCAATTACTTCAAATGTCAGTACATAGAAAAATCTTTATAATTAATGTATTCTGCTTATTTACAAAACTCACCTGTTCTTTACTGTACCAACTATATAATGAATACAGCAGAAAATAAATAAATAATCACATAGAATCAAAAGCTTTCATTATCTCATACAGTTAAAAGCTCAGGAAATTCAATACCTTTGTGTACAGGAAGCAATAGTTAGGATTGGTAAAGAGTTACAGGTAATTACAGGTATGGTAAAACTAAGGTGCTAATGAACGGTTATAAAGAAAGGTGTTGTGTAGTTTGGTTCAGGTTGTTAGGTTTGTTAATTAAGTGAGACAAACACAGGTGCGTGACTCTCAGGTGATTATTGTTGGTGTTGTTATGGTGGTGTGGTGGTGAGTGTGGTGGTGGTGAGTGTGGTGGTGGTGGGTCTAGTGGTAGTTGGGTGTTGTGATAGACAAGTATCGTTCACTCTTACACAACTTTCACCACCTTTACCTGTCTCATTAATTTTAGCCAAGTGAAGCCACAGTAAGTCACAGTTCAATGATCACACACACACACACACACACACACACACACACACACACACACACACACACACACACTCTCCTCGCTAACTAAAACAGAAACATGAAAGCGTGAGAACTAGTGATGGCAGCTCGTTAGTATACCTGAATACCATCACCTGAGAATAAAGTTAATTAATGAGTTGTTCAGGTGACGGCAGCAGGTGTTGAGGTCTACTTGGTGTGTAAGGATGCTGTGGTTTTTTTTGTGTTCGTGAGGTGAAGCTCGTTCGTTGCTGTCTTGCCTTCACTACACGACTTATTATTACAGCAGAGAAAGAAAGAAAGAAAGAAAGAAAGAAAGAGTACTCCTTATATTTTACATCAACTTACACTACCAAAAACCACACTTTTGATTTTCATGAACTTTTCCTCAGCTCGTAGGAAAAGATATACAGTCGATGAACAGAAATACAAATACAAATAAACTCCTGTAATTGTATCAAAAGAACCTAACTTAACCTAACCTTAACCTAACCTAACCTAACCTAAACCTAACCTAACTTAGTCTAATATGGTAATGATCTTTGTTCTTCGTCGGCGAATTTTTTTTTTGGGAACAACTGGGATATGTTTTTTACCAGAGGTTGAGAGAGACTGTCTGTCTGTTTGTCTGTCTGTCTGTCTGTCTGTCTGTCTGTCTGTCTGTCTGTCGTATGTTGTAGTGAAGTCTGGGTTTAGTCTGTTTTCGTGTTATTGTTGTCCCAGGTCTTATACGACTCTGGGGTCTTATGGATCACCAGGTCTTATATACGACCGAGTCTTACATACGACTCTGGGGTCTTATGGATCACCAGGTCTTATATACGACTCTGGGGTCTTATGAATCACCAGGTCTTACATACGACTCTGGGGTCTTATGGATCACCAGGTCTTATATACGACTGTGAGTCTTATATCACCATGAAAGGTCAAACACGTATATCACATCATGGATATTTAGTTAAGAGAATATTACAATAGCTTCTTTATAATATTCGGTGTATGAATATCTTTTCTATTTACGCCTGGCGGTAAAATCCTCCACTCATCTATAATTCCAATCTAAATTCTCTACCAAATAGTAATACTAATTAGTGAATATTGTAGTTTGACCTCTTCTGACCTTGAAATTTCTTGACCATGATAATTTTTAAATGAAACGGAGGCGTGAGGTAAAGAATTTTATTGTTAATTTTAGGAGTTGGATTTTTTAGCTAATTTCTTTACACGGGGGAAAATTGCTTCCTAAAATTGTCGTATGAGACAGTGTGTATTGGTGGTACTAGGTGTTTGTGAAGATAAAACGATATATATATATATATGAAAGAGTGAGTAAACTATGTCAAATTTTGTTAGATAATCTATTTAAGGAAGTCCTGAAGGATAATTTTTACACACAGCCGGGAGTGTCAGGCAGCGGGGAGTAAGATAAGGTGTTTTAAATCATTTTATTGTGAATTAATCTTGTCAACTACTGATGTTGTATTCTTTTTCTTATTTTTCTCTTGTTTATTAAAAAGTTGGTGAGGTGATAGAGCCGGGGGGTGGGAGAGTTAGAGATACGGAATGATTAGGAATGAAAACATTTAATCTGTAGGCGACACAATGCGGCACACGGCGGCACACGGCGGCATACGGCGGCACACGGCGACACACGGCGGCACACGGCGACACACGGCGGCACAAGGTGGAGGTCTGCATACAAAAGATCCTTTGAATTTTTAATGAATATAGTTGCATAGAAAAAAAGCGTGTGAACCAGTACCTTACCTTACCTTACCTTAATTGTGTTCACATCTACACTAGCTCAATCTTATTCTTGTTACACTACCATCGCCTAACCCAACCCAACCCAACCCAACCAAACTTCCCCTCCTAATCTAAACCTCCCACCCCCACCCCCCAAAAAAATCCCCCTACCCCTCACCCACCCCTAAACCCCTCTCGCCACCCCAAAAAATTCCCTTCCCCACCATCCAAAATAATCTCCATAAAAATAGTGTCATGGTCTAAGCTCTCGGATAAATTACTCAGATAAAAAAAAAAAAGCTTGGATAAAACTGCCAAAACGTTGCGGTGAAGCTTAAGAAAAGTTATTATTTACCACAGATACAATTTCCAAATGAGTCTGTGCCCCAAAGACGAGGGAGAGCGGCCTCTTCTGTTGTGGTTGTTGTGGTTGTAGTTGTTATTGCTGTTATTGCTGCTGTATTTGTTTCTTGAAGTTGTTGTGGTTGTTGTGGTTGTAGTTGTTATTGCTGTTATTGCTGCTGTATTTGTTTCTTGAAGTTGTTGTGGTTGTAGTTGTTATTGCTGTTATTGCTGCTGTATTTGTTTCTTGAAGTTGTTGTGGTTGTTGTGGCTGTAGTTGTTATTCTTGTTATTGCTGCTTTAGTTGACGTTGTAGCTACTTTTGGATATTTTTGTTGTTGTTATTGTTGTTGTTTTTGTTATCGTTGTTTTGTTGTGATTTATGTTTGGTTTGAGTGGTTCATATACCGTCATTATCTCCTGTACCGTCACTTATCCTCCTGTACCGTCATTTATGCCTCCTGTACCGTCATTTATGCCTCCTGTCCATCATTTATCCTCCTGTACCGTCATATGCCTCCTGTACCGTCATTTATGCCTCCTGTACCGTCACTTATGCCTCCTGTATCGTTAATATTGGTTCACCTAAAAATTTTTTCTCTCTCTCCCTCTCTCTCTCTCTCTCTCCCCCCTCTCCTCTCTCTCTCTCTCTCTCTCTCTCTCTCTCTCTCCCTCGTTCCTCCGTAAATGCTATTACTTCACTGAGTGTTGGGGGCGTGGGGGAAATTTCTCTACCAAAACTCTTGTCTTGTCATTTACTACGGAACTGTCTCAGAGAGAGAGAGAGAGAGAGAGAGAGAGAGAGAGAGAGTTAAAAGGAGCATTATGAAGAAGAAGAAGAAGAAGAAAGTCATATAAAAACGAAAAGCTAATAATAATAATCAAGGAATTAAACCTCTATACACACACACACACACACACACACACACACACACACACACACACACACACACAGTGACCTCGTAAATACCTAAAAATGCTAAGGACTTAATTTACTCCCATGATTAATTACCTCCAACTTCCTCATCTTAATTAACCATGTCCTAGTTAAGAGTAGTTTACAACCTCTATTTAACGGACTACATGGAGAGAAAAGTCCGTTATATCGAGGGTCCGTTAGATGCGAGGCCTCCATATAACGGATTTTATCTAGAAAGAAGTTCGTTATATCGAGGTTTTACTGTAGTATAAGTTGTTAAAGAGGTCAGTGTGTGTGTGTGTGTGTGTGTGTGTGTGTGTGTGTGTGTGTGTGTGTGTGTGAAATATTGCCACTGACCCACCAACCGAGGAGTCTTCTGAACACACACACACATACACACACACACACACACACACGTACACACACACAGCCCCAGATTAATTGCCCGTAGCGTCAAAATATTACCTCTGTTACACACACACACACACACACACACACACGCACACACGCACACGCACACACACATTCCTTAATACTCGCAGGCGGCCCACGAAGATTTCCCGAGGATTAAATTTAGTGGAAAAATGTTCGACACGACTTAACTTTGGCGTTGGTATTGCAATCATGATAAATCTTTGGGCATTATGGCGGACTGTGGCTGAGAATTGTGTGTTAAGATGAGGCTGAGTAAAGGGTGAGTGTGGTTTCTTAATGATCCCGAAGAGGTGGGTGTGGGGTGGGTGTGGGGTGGGCTGGAGTGGGTTGGAGTGGGGTGGGGTTCGGGTGGGGTGGGTGGGTGGGCTGGAGGCTGGGAGGGGTGAGGTGGGATGGGTACGTGTTCTCCCCACTACTTCATAATTTGGACCAACCAAACCTGAAGCTTTAATGATGGAACTATGCAATTATGTCTTGATGGAAGGTTTTGGGTTAAGGTTCAATTAAACTCTCTGTGGTTTTTGTTGTTTTTCCTCCAATTTGGTCTTAAACTACACCCTCTGGCAACAACTATACCTTACAGTTTACTAAGACATATACCAACCTACAGAACCAAGACGCAATGCTATATAATAATTCCTATATTAACTCTCATGTACTATAAAACCCCCTCACCACCCCTCACCCACCCTCACCATCCTCACCACCTCACCACCACGCCCCTCACCACCCATCCACCACCCCAAAC